TCAATCTGCCTACAAACATGCATCAGTCAAAAGTAAATGGAACAGTAATGGAGTCAATGTGAAACAGGTCCATCTTTCAATCTGTTCATACCCTACAATGGCCAGACCTTGCACAGTACAAGGCATTGGGTTTTGAAATTAGAGAAGCTCCAACTTTTTTCTGCTTAGTATTGTCTTTGGGAGCGTGTGATATAGTCAATCATGTCACTGACATTAAACACGTTTTCGTACTGCAGTGCAAAATCCCTGATCATCTCCATATCCTTTGCAGCTTTAGCTAAGGATACAGGCAAGCAGGTGGGAAAGAATTCATCAAAATCTTCAGGGACATCAGCTTTCTTAGTTGAATAACGTACTGCAGCAATGACTGCCTCACTTGTCAGTCCCACTGTACAGCATACAGCACTGTCCACCTCGGAATAGATTTCCAGGTTTGTCTCTGCTGAAATTTCCATGCTGGAATCCCAGAGGCAGGTAAAAAGAACCTCATTGTCAGGTTGGTTGGTCTGACTCTTCTCCTCCTCAGCACCCATTTGCCAATCGTAGCCCACTGCAACATGGCATAGCTTCCAACACAAATCTTCCCGAACTCCTTCATTATGTAATCGGGCCTCTGGTAGTGTCCGTGCTCCTTAATCAATGGCCTTGCTGACTGGAGAGATCAGCTGCCTGTAAGTAGTTTGTTTCTTAAATTCCTACTCCTCTCCTGGTCCATTGGCTGAAGTTTGGCCATGGTGTTGGGAGCCAAGAACATGGCTGGGATGCACGGGGCAGTTCTTAATTTCTGTTGATACATTTTATTCACTTTCCTTTTCTGCTCTTCCAAATGCTGGAGGTCATTCGGGTAGTTTTGTTAGCCTCACACTGAGCGTAGTGTCACAACATTCGCAAAGCAACTTAACTTCTTAGGCTTCCTCATCACAAGAAGCAACAGCTTCTTGGTGCCATCCATGTTGGTGCAGATCATAGCACGGACACATTCCCACTTCACTTTCCACCATTAATGTTAAAGGTGGAACATGTAAAGAACAATCTAGTAGAACAGAATAACAGAGATAGTAGGAACTGCAGATGCTGGAGAATCCGAGACAACAAGGTGCAGGGCTGGATGAACACAGCAGGCCAAGCAGCATCATAGGAGCAGAGAGGCTGACGTTTCGGGCCTAGAACAGAATAACAGCCTACTTATGTCTGTGATAAAAATGTTTCAGTACATATTCTTTCAGGATGTAGGCTAGACTATTTTTCAGTCAAAATATTTGTTATTGCTGCCATAACTACTGCAGATTCATGCTTACTGTATAGAAGACAGTGCTGTGCCTTATCCTAAATTGGTTTAGCCATCTTTGCAGGGTGACTCTCCTTTCCTGCAGGATTGATCAGAGATGGGGACATTGTCTGCTGGAATTGCCTTAAACCATGTTAGCAGAGCTTCACCACATCAGGATAGACAGCTTTTCTCATCTTCTTCCCAGCTGGACAGAATACCTCCTTGTCAAATTGCTCCAAGATGTTTGTTTTGTACCCAGAACGGTTGTCAAACTCGACAGTAGAATTTTCCATTCCCTACCCACGTCCATATCATGCTTTGCACTGTGGTTTTCCTCTTGCTGCACTGAATTCACTCAATGTCTAGGCTTTTTATAGGCATCTCTATTCAAGATGCTGCCTATAAATATTTGGTAAACCTAAACCTCCAAGTTCCTTTACCACATTGTTTTATATCTCACAATGTATAGTTCAAGTAAGTATATCACTTTGTACTTGCTGATGTTAAGATTTCATCTGGCACTTCTACACCCATTCCAATATCTTAATAGAAACTGGGACAGGCTCTTCATTCCCTTGTGCCTGATTCCAAAGAGGTGCCAACCACCCCAGCAAACTAAGGCATATAAATAACAAGCGGTTCAGAACAACAATGCTTCACCGGAGGGGCACCAATGATGTTACTTAGCAGGGTGATGAAAGGTCTGCAATCAAACACACCAGCTTGGCAAGCAAGTCTATAAACCTGATCCACCATTCAATAAGATCATGGCTGATCCAACATTGCTCATGCTCGTGCCTTTTCCCCATAACCTGTGCTTTCCCTATTGATTATCTGCCTAGTTCAGCCTCAAAATATGCATAAGGACTGTGCATAGGTGAGCTCTTCATTCAAATTACTGATCGTACAGAGGGTAAAAAGCCTGTCCTTGGTCAGAACCACAAGGGACCTGGCTATCAACTGTGAGACTGTCATTAAAGTCCTACTATTTCCTTCCTTCTCATGGGTTTGATACAATTTGTCACCCAGACCCCATAAATCTCTTATAGTCACCCATGTGGACACTTGTTGAAGGCTTTTTGAAAGTTCACACAAGTCAGATCCACTATATTTCCTCCATATATGTAAGCAGGAATAGCTTGTGTTGATCAAGTACAATATTTTTATCTTCTCAATAATTTAACAAGCTGTGTATCGTTACCCAGTTACTTGTTTCTCTTGCTATCATTTTTATTATAAATCAGTTATGTTGTTGTTCACGACCCAAGAATTAGAATTTAACTCTTTCAGTTGGATCTAATGTTCAGTAAACTTTTGAACTAATATCCTGCAGCCTATCATCACGTGCTGTTAGAATTTCCAAACATATTGTGGAGTTTGTTTTTGATTTCTCTTCCAAATTAGAAAAACCATTTATTTAGTTTACATCGGAATCATTTCTAACAAATATGGAACAGTTTAGGACCTGAGCACTAAGCAGGCAGGGAACCATATTACTGTGTAATTCACGTGAAATTTTAATTGACGCTTGGAAAAACCACTGCAAAGTGCTTATCTTAAACAGAGTTGAGTTTCTCAAATGTTAGTTGTAATAATGGGCAACTGTGTAACATGAATTGGCACTAATGGAAGTAGTTGAACACCTCTTCTGGAATAGAGCTATGTGGCTGTTCTCAACCAGATTACTACAATGGTACAACTCAACTCCACTCTTCATTCACATGGCTCCACAAATTGCAGGCATTGCATCAATGCATATAATGGAATTCCACTAAACTGAGCATCAGCTATCTGAGAAAGTCTATGTAAAAGATGGTGAGTCTGGGAGGGATGCTCTTCGGAGGGTCAATGTGGACACCATGGGCCAAGTGGCCTGCTTCCACACTGTTGGGATTCTCTTGACTCTATGATACAAGACCTCTCTCTTCACAAGTTTATTCTACACTGGTGACTTCTTTCTTACTGATGTCAGTGTCTTGCAATTAGTTACATCATGTTCTACACGAATCTCTTTCCAATTTAACACTGGTTAGAGTTGAGCAGAGAACAAAGCATGGAGTAAACCTTTCTACTTGCACTACTTTCAATGGGGAGGTCACAAAAGTTTGTTTTTGAACATCTATGCACTTGATTACAATAGTATCTCTTTTTTGGTTGTCAAATTTCAGAAATGTAAAACAAATGAAAGTCAATGACTGAGACATTCACTGCAAGACAGTGAATGATGTTAACATTGACTATAAACTATTTTTATTCTAACTCTGCTAGAAGCAATTCAACACTTCAAAATGAAATCACAAAAACATTATAACCTATTTTTCTCTTTTATAGATGAAGACCTGCTATGAAATTCCCATTTCATTTGCTTTGATGGTAGAGCTTACTATTGATCCAGCCTTTCTTTTTAAAAATTTCAATTCAAAATACAGGATATTCCAAAACATTTTGAAATTAAAGGTGCACAGGGGCAGTCCTTTTCTTTTGGGGGCGGGGTCACAAAGAGGGACAGGGGAAAAAGAATTAACTTGCATTAAAAAGGAGGATAAATGATAAAATGCCATGTAAATCCTTACTAGAATTCTTTGCAATTCAAAATCTGCATCTGCTGTGCTGGAATTTCTATGTGAATCTGATACAAATTTAAATCCTAATGACGAAAGTGCTGTGAAACATTGACTCTCAGTTCCAAACCATTTAGTTTCTGAGATAACCAAAACCAAGCAGGTTATAAACCACATACGAACCAAAAATGTTTGTGCTCATCTACAAAAGATATTTGGACTTTGCAAAAGAGGAGAAACATAGAATACACAGATGGATAGAACCTTGGATAGACAGGTAGAATGACAACTGCACATGCAGATAGACAGGCATGTATACTATGATAGCCAGTTATTGATAAGTGTAAGATCAGAATGAACTTAACGGACGGTAAAGTTTTGCTCGGTCAATGGATTTGCAAACAGTGCAGGCCCATAACATTGCCTCAATAGCCTTTTCTTCACCTCCCTGCCCATCAAGGCCTGTCCACACTTTAATGGTGGGATGAGCAAGGCCTACAGCTGCCTGCCCTTGCCACAGATGAAATTGTTAAGTGAACAATTAATGATCAAATAATCATCTTCTTAGCATTTGCAGAGAATGACTGACAGAGATAGAGGGAAATTTTGTGTTTTGCCCTAGAGATTCAGGATATTGCTGTGTCAAGAATAAGTGTACCTAACCCTTTAAATTAATCTTAAGCATGCAGTGTTGAGTTAAGAAAACTAAACTGGAAGAGACATGAGATAGCAGGAACTGCAGATGCTGGAGAATCTGAGATAACAAGGTGCAGAGCTGGATGAACACAGCAGGCCAAGCAGCATCAGAGGAGCAGGAAGGCTGATGTTTCGGGCCTAGACCCTTCTTACTGAAACGTCAGCCTATGGAAGGGACAGGTGCTCTTCAATACTAATTCCAAATATCAATTAGCTAAACTTTAACTACCCCTAAAATGAAATTTCAATTGTAATTTTTTATTAGCAAACAGCTGCCATATTGAGCATCCGCAGAAATTAAATATAACAATTATTAAGCAATACACTTGCAATTTGTAAAATGTACTACTTACTGAAAGAAACCTCATGCCTTACCAACTTAGTTGAAGGCAGTTTTATGCAAATTTGCATACTGCAAATTAGGACATGTTTAAATATTCCACAAATGGCAACTTACTGAGTAGACGGTACATTTCTTTGGCCATTTTAGGTCTCACCTTTGTTTCCGACCCCTGTGCTGTCGTGGTGGCTGTTCTTCTTGAGGGTCCTTAAAAAGGTCACGAAAAATAGGCTCGCACTTTTTGAAGATGACAGCAGAAACTGTGAAATTCCTCTCCAGCTTTTCTGTACGCTCCCTGAATTCTTGGGATAGATCTGCCATGTCTGCCCATTTTTGCATCTTATTGAAGAATTCTATCAAACTGTTCCAGACACAAGTCAAACTGGTTAATACTTTCCTGAACATAACGTATCAGCGTTCAAATGTGTTGGTGGTAAAATTCCTTATAGAGAGAAGATCCCAGAGCAGGATTCTCCTCTCTCAAGGGACAGTGGTCCGAAGTGGGTTGGGTGAGGCTTTTACCGATGTGGCTGACCTAGTGCTGATCTGCATAGCTTCATTTAAATTGCATAGACAGATTCCAAAAGGTACCTTCTGACAAGATAACTTTGAAATAAAACCTTTTGTGAAAAATTATCAACATGGGTTTCATTCTGGAGGTGTCAAGCCAGTTTCTGTAACCAACAGATAGGAAGGAAGAGGGACCATATTCAGATCTAATCACACTGTAATACTTTTCCCTAACCAGCTATGGATATTGCACACTTTGGTGGTAGATTTTCCTGGATGAAGTATTTTAATCACCAAAATGTGGCTTGTTTCGAGATAACAAAATTAGCTGTAGGTCATTTTTGAGCCAAATCTGTGGTGTTACTAAATCAGTACTGAATAGTTACAACGTTGTGCTGTGAATTCCTATTTTAATGTTGAATTTCAAAATATCTTAAAAGGGCAAAGAGAGTAATATTCCTCTATTACTTATTGATAGTTGTATAAAAAAAAAACTAAAGTACAGCTGTAAGAGCAGTTTTCTCCTCAAAACTGCTTTTTGTGGAATGCAGCTTTATATTCTAACCTACCTACTTTTTGTTGCTATTTCTCCTCAGCACAGATGTAACAACAGTGATGTCACTGTCACTCCAAATAACATAAACAGACAGAAGCTAAGCTGTTTCAGAGATAGTAGGAACTCAAGGAATCTACTGTGGACATATAAATCTACCATCAGTAAGAATCCAGTGGGTGAACTGCAACTGACGCATATTAATTCAGTAATTATAATTAATCAAATATTGTTTTAAACAAATCAATTGTATACTCCTACCTGAGTTCAGAAGAGCGTAGGATCTTTGTTAAGGAGACACAATTCCCTTCTACAGTGCCCCTTCCCACTGAGGGAATGGCTTTTCTACATGCTACATACAGGGCACAAGCCAACCAGTGAAGATCTTCTCCCTAAAACAAAACAAATCTCCATTCATTTATACACCAATACCAGTACAGCCAGTGTCATGGAATCATACAGCATGGAAACAGGCCCTTCAGTCCAACTCGTTCACATCAACCATGTTCTCAAACTGAACTTGCCTGCATTTGGCCTATATCCATCCACACCTTTCCTACCCATGTACTTATCCAAATGTCTTTACAACTTCAATTAAATGGCCTTAAAGTGACAGTCTCTAGTTCAGATAGTTCGTATTGTTGAGTTTGAGTTTTTAAAGCAACATATTTTATTGATACAACTTGCTGATTTGTAAAAGGAAGAAATGAGGCAGGGTGCAGAAAAGAAAGTAATTAAATATAGTTATACTTTAATTAAAACTTATAGTTATACTTTTCTTAAAAATTTATACTTTGTGGAATAGGAAACCAAAAACCTGAGAGAAAAAAAAGTGGTAGCCAGTGGGCACGAGGCAGAGGAATAGAACAGAATTAGGATTGAAGTTGGCAAAAGACAGAGATAAGACAGAGAAATCAAATGAAGAGTAAAATAGCTCCTGCACTCTCACTGACATGATGCACCACTAGTTATTTGCTTTTAAGACATTTTTGTCGCTAGTAAGGGGATGGTTTTGAAGGAAATCTAGGAGGTGCTTGAGCCAAATAAAAGATTTACTTTTCCCTTTTGATCTAATCTTTGTGTGAACTGGTCCAAGCATGGACACAAATGCCTTAGTACTTTGTATATAGTTGTATTGCAATCAGACAGCACAGAAGCAAGCATTTGTCCCATTGTGCCTGTCCATTGTGTCTCTTTCAATGGTCTATCCAATTAGTCCTACTGATGTGTTCATGCCCAGAGTCCTGCAGATTACTCCTTTTCAAAGTATATGTATTACATCACTTAGAAGAAAGGACCTTTCTTTAAACTATTCTTCGAAGAATTAGTGAGGACTACTTAATAAATTAAACTGACAGTATAATACGGTTGTCATCACACATACCACATTTTTTGGGAAAAGAATGGAGGAATTTTTTTCCCCTTGTCACACTCAAGATATCCTGGATCAAGATACCCTACGATCTGTACCCATCAATTGCAATGGAGCATAGAGGGTTGAGGGGTGACCTTATAGAAGTTTATTAAATCGTGAGGGGCATAAATAAGGTGAGCAGCAAAAGTTTTTTCACTAGTGTTAGGGAGTTCAAAACTAGAGGGCATAATTTTAAGGCAAGTGGAGAAAGATTTGAGAAGGGACCTGAGGAGCAATTTTTTCCACACAGAGGGTGGTTCACACACGGAATGAATTACCAGAGGAAGTGGTAAATGCAGGTACGGTTACAAAATTTACGCGACATTCGGACAGGTACACAGAGAGGAAAGATTTAAAGGGATATGGGGCAAACACAGGAAAATGGGACTACTTTAGTTTGGGAAATTTGATCGGCATGGACGAGTTGGACCATGGGGTCTGTTTCCATGCTGTGTGACTCTATGCTATATGGAAAGTCTCTTTAAATCACGTCACAATGAGGGCTGCATTCAATAGTTTATTTGTTCTGTCAGGAACGTAGAACCAGATACCGGTGTTTATGATGTGTAATCAGACTCACTCCTCGACATATCAAGGTCCACTGACGTTCAGGGAGATGCTGATATGTAACACTGATTTGGCGATTGAGGTACAAATGGCTGGAGCAATGAAAATAATCAATTGCTGACAATGCCTGTTTCCCACACTCCGGAATTTCCATACACAGGACTTTCATAAAATAAATGCCGCTGAGTAATATGAACTTTTATCATATTAGCTACAAAGTGCTGTCATCTGAATGTAGTTAATGCATTTAAAATTACTATCCATTGTTTTAGTGAACGTCACCTTCAATACACGTACACATAAAATTCCACAGTACGGCTATTCATATTACATATTAAAGCTCTGATAACAGTCAAACCAGAGCTCCATCCATTAGGAGTTAGCAAAAACTGCAGATGCTGGAGTGGGAGCCAATACAGGTGGAGCGGAGGAACACAGCAGGTTAGGCAACACAAGGAGTCCTGATGAAGGATCTAGGCCTGAAACAATCGATTCTCCTGCTCCCCTGATGCTGCCTGACCCCTGTGTTCCTCCAGCTCCACACTGTATTGGCTCCATCCATTATGCTTCCTGTGGGACACTGTAGTATTACAGCACTATTGCCCAACTCCTAAACTTTACAGATAAAACTGTAACTTACATAGCTTGCTGTAAGTGAAACAGTTAATTGGAAGGATGAAGAAATAGTAGTCAGAACAGGCCTCCACTTAGCCCTCTTCCAGCTGTTTTGAAAAATGACACCTATGAGCGATATTAATTTTTTGTAATTATTACAGCTAAAACATTTTCGATCAAAAATTTAAAAAAAGTTTTAAAAAACAAATAGAAACTCTCTGAAGCTAACTGAATGATGCGGAGATAACAATAAATAAATACATGTGGTCTTTTACTGAGGAACTGTATCAAATGTGACGGCAATGTTCTAAGTTCTCACTATTTATGCAGTGGTCCTAGTGTTAATTTCAAATATGTTCTTGCAAATTAGAAAATTTAGCTGCTTCCCCTGTCAAGATTAACCAAGCAAAAATAATCTGACCACTAACCTGAATGTAAAAGATAGTTTCCTTGCTGACGAGGTTTGATTACTTTTCTTTACCAAACAAGACATCAGAAACAAAAAATTGTGGAAAGGAAACTAGTTGCAGTTCACTAACTTAATACCAATACTTACTAAATACTCACAAAAGTATATTACATGAAAAAACACGCTCTTGGAGGTCCAAAACTTATTTCATACACCAATCTGTTCATAATCTTTTTGTATTTCTGCAATGGCAATTCACTACTTTAAGTAAAAACAACATATTAACTACCTCTTGCACATTATTAAACATTTCAACACCTTTGTACACATGCTCCCATTCAACTGTCCTTTACTGGAATGTATTCTCATTCTTAGGTCCAGAGAAATTCTCACCATTGATCCACATACTCTTACAAAGATTTACCTCTTACTCCCTCTCCCTCAGCACACAGTCCTTCATGTAGTTTTGGATATCTCAGAGCCCTTTAATTCTCATGCTCAGCACTCTCTTCCATTGTTTTTATCATGGCACAATTAGCTTAATGCATCATAAAATTCTTCCATTCTTGTGTACATTTTTGGTCTTTCCGAGTTGCTAAGTCTGTGCTAATCAGCTGTTCATGGGTCGTAAGTGCATTTTTCAGCAAAAGGTCAGTTCTTTGGAGGCCAATAGGATGGATCCTCCATTAACAGGCACAGTATTCTAAACAGTTACTCAGGGAAGCTGGGAGCAGAGAAACATGATCAGCTGCGAAAGAAATTTAGTACAGCAGCATATTGTGTGACACATTGATGAATTCACAAGACTGAAGAATGATGAAGCTTCCATGATTAAGCATATCATGTGTACTGATCAGGAAGTCATAGAGATGTACAGCACGGAAACAGACCCCTCTGTCCAACTCGTCCATGCTGACCAGATATTCTAAATTAATCTATTCCCATTTGACAGCATTTGGCTCATATCCCTCTAAACCTTCCTATTCATGTTCCCATCTAGATGCCTTTTAAATGTTCTAATTGTACCAGCCTCCACCACCTCCTCTGGTAGCTCATTCCATACATGCACCACCCTCTGTGTGGAAAAAGTTGCCCAGTAGGTCCCTTTTAAATCTTTTCCCTCTCACCTTAAACCAATGCCCTCTAATTTTGGATTCCCCTACACCGGGGGAGAAAAAAAGACTTTGATTATTCGCCCTTTCCATGCCCCTCATGATTTTATAGACTTCTAAAAGGTCACCAATCGGCCTCTGATGCTCCAATGAAAATACCCCCAGTCTATTCAACCTCTCCTTGTAGCTCAAACCCTCCAACCCCAGCAATAACCTTGTCGATCTTTTCTGAACCCTTTCAAGTTTCACAACATCTTTCCTATAGCAGGGAGATCAGAACTGAATGCATATTTCCCAAAAGTGCCCTAACCAATGTCCTGTCCAGCCAATGTTCAATGCACTGACCAATAAAGGCTAGCGTACCAAACTTCTCCTGCTGTCTACCTGCGACTCTGCTTTCAAGGAACTATGAACCTGTACTCCAAGATCTCTTTCTACAGCTGGTAAGCAGGAGTTTGTAAATTATGTTGGAATATTTCAGACATTTGTAAACGTAGCAAGGGCCTACATTTCAGGTTATGGGAATAAGGATGGGAGCAAAATAAAATATTTTCAATCTTTTGCAGATTGCTATCGGAAAAAATTAAAGCTCCAGCATGTGTTAATTTCAGATAGACAGGCTGACAGAGGAGAAATGGCTGTCAGATGAATCCATGAATAGTGTCAATCACTAAGGAGCAACATGTCAATAAGGAAAAGGTAGCCAAGAATATAGCCAAAAAAGTTCTGCAGAGGTAACTGTTGAGGTGGTAGAGAATCCAGTGCTGTGGCTGAAACTGAACAGGTGGCCTTGTGAACATAGGCTACAAAGAAGTATGTGTGAGAGAGGTGATGAATTGGGCTGATTGTGTCAAATACAATGGATACATCATGGTGTGCAACATATATATTGGAGTACCTTAATTAGAAAGGTTGGCATTGTTGACACATCAGAAATCAGGCAGAAAAGAGAGAAAGTGAATTGTAGGAGTGTTGAGCATGATGCTGGGAAATAACAATAATGAGGGACCTTTGACAGGAAAGGAGGCACCAACTGTTGGGAATCACTAATTTAAAAAAACATCTTATGTAGCTGTGTTTTCCATTTATTTAAACTAGGGCCTCATAAATCAGCAAGTTCAGTGTTAGTTGACAAAATTGAGCAGAGTTTCAGACTCTGGAGATGTCGATTACAAGGATCGCAGATCAATCTCTAGTATACAAACATACAAACAAAGGAACTCTTAGTTCCTTAGGCCACCCAGCCCTTTAAGCCCACTCCACCATTCAATAAGATCATAGCTGACCTCATTTTAACTTTAACTGTTTTCCTGCATACCCCCAATAATCTTTCAACCCCTTGGTAAGTAAGAATCTATCTACCTTAAAAATATTTCAAGATTCTGCATCAATTGACTTTTGAGGAAGGGAATTCCAAAGTCTCACAGTCCTCAGAGAAAAATGTTTTTCTCATCTGTCTTAAATTGGTCAACACTTTATTGTTAAACTATGATCACTAATTCTAGATTCTCCCACAAGAGGAAACATCCTTTTCACATCCACCTGGTCAAGTCCCCTCAGGATCTTATATGTTTCAATTAAGTCACCTCTGACCTTTCTAAACTCCAGAGGATGCAAGTTTAGCTTGTCTAAGCCTTCCTCAAAAGACAATCCACTCACTCCAGGTGTGGGTCGAGTCAAACCTTCTCTGAACTACTTCCAACACATTAGAATCCTTCTACAAGCACCGTGACCAGTACTGTACACAGTACTCGAAATGTGGTCTCACCAATGCCCTGTATAACTGAAGCATAGCCTCTCCACTCTTGCACTCAATTGATCTTTGCAACAAAACATAACAGCAACTTTTCAACATTTAAAGCACATAAAGGTTACAAAAAATATTGAGAGAAACACGGAGTCTTTAATGTCAGTGTAAAGAGTGCATTTTATATGAGTAATTACAATAGACAACCTAAAAGATATAAATCAAAAACATTGTCAAAACGCAATAATGCAAGCACTGAGAATCAGAATCATAATCAGAAGGCTGCTAATTGACCTTCCAATACCATAGTTTCTGCATATTATTTAGAGTGATAGATTAGGACAAGACTGATTTGGATTTGTACATCATTTGACCATTGGGTGAGGTAACACAGAGGTCCTGTCTGGATTTCTACCTAGGCTGCAAAAACAAAAATTTAATTACTGTTTGTGAAATCTGACGACGCAACAAACAACAGTGAATACGTTTAAACAGAAACTGATTGGCTGTAAAGTGATTTGACTATCCCAAAAACATGAAGGGCACGATTTAAAAAAGTTATTTATTTCAAACTAAAATAAGAGTAAGACACAGGGTCATAGTTAAACTGGCAGGACACGAATTTATGCTTGGTACCGCAAAATAATTTGTTAGAGGTTAACACTCAGGGCACCCCTAATTGGGATACTGTGTGCATAAACACTGGAATTGATGGAGAAACTGTTGAATGTTTTGCTTGTCTGATTGGCCCTTCTTATCTCTACATATGTCAAATTCACAGCATAAACAGGCGAGACGCTCTTCCGGTGCTTCCTCTTCCAACACAAGGCTTAGTTGTTTACGTGGACGGTTTGAAACTTTGCTTTTGGCAAGGTGGGCCGGGCAAGGCATTGCTGAACGAGAATGTGCAAGTTTCTCGAATTGGAGCGAGGACTTTAAACTACTTTAAATGGCAGCGCCGAAGGGCAGGCCTGCCCCTGTTCTGCAAGGTTTAGCATCAGCAACAAACCCGCTCAGCCCCTCGTGAAAATTAAAAACAAAACAGGCAAAACATTAACTTTCAAACGAATTGAGTGCAATAGCCTGATGTATGTATTCCTTGTATGCTGAATTCCAATGTTGCAAACTAATATACACGCAATGAATTACCTCTGACCCTCCCCCTCCCCCTCAGCTGTCAGTGGGTACTTATTTACTCGCAGATGTCACCTCGGGTACACGCCCCCTTATAGTCAGGCAGCTTTCACTGTGTGTCTCTCACCCTCTGTCCCACACACTCACCTCCAGGGTGTATTTCCTGCTGATGCTCTCGTAACTTGCCCAAGCCTCACATTTTGCACCCTCGTCCATGTTCAATTTCTGACAAAGTTCCTCAAACCTCTGCCTGGTCCGGCAGCCGCCCTGCTCTTCCTCGCTGGCCATGGCCGGTCGGGTTGTGGTTTAGTGGAAATGCTGCTGCTGCAGGAGTAGTAGTTGCAGAAATACCGCTATCGCTGTCGCTGTGCCCGGGAGGGCTCAAGCAGCGGTCGCGGGCCGCACTGTAGCCATTTAAAAGCCGCTTGATTGACAGCCCAACACGTCCCGCCCTTGCCACCGTCTGATTGGTCCGTCCGGCTGCCCGTCGGAACGTTCGATTGTTGCCTCCTGAACGTTAAGTGGCTGCGCGGCCACGTCAATCACAGCGCTTCCTGGGCCAGGCTCTGCCCACCCCTTGCCAAGTACCTGGCAGAGCACAGTGCAGGCTTTGTGAGAGCCGGGGGGGGTGCAGCAAGGCTGCTCTTAGAGGGTACCAGCTGCCAGCCTATTACTGGGAAAGAAATAGCAGGGGGGGGCACGACCTCCACATGTCAGAGAGCATGCAGAGAAGATTTAATAGAAAGATTTGGAGGGGGTGGGGGTTAGGTATTTTAACCATTACGTTTGGTTACAAAAAAAAAATCGGGGCTACTTTCTGCTTCCTGCTTCATCCCAAAGGTGTTTGAGGACTTTCTGATGGTAATATCGAGTGCAGCATGTTCGGACGAGGTAGGTAAAGTAAGCAAAAACAAAGGTGCTGGAAAAGCTCAGCAGGTCTGGCAGCTTCTATGAAGGAGAAAACAGAGTTAACGTTTCGGGTCTGGTGACCCTTCCTCAGAACTTTTTTTTAAGTAAAGTAAAATTGTGTTCATTAGCTGATTGCACAAAAGGCCGAGGGTCACAGTTTTGAGCAACAGATGCAGAGGTGATGGGAGGAAGAACATTAACGTGGACCAAGGACCTGAAACTTCACTAAAGTAGCGGAAGGGGAAATGCCCAATACCTACACTGGGAAAGTAGATAAGAACGTGAGCACAGAACTCGTAAAATTATGGGGTTTTAGCAGGAGGAATGGGTCTGATTGAATAAAAACCAAAAGAACTGTAGCTGCTGTAAATCTGGAACAAAAAAGTTGCTACAAAAGCTCAGCAGGTCTGGCAGCATCTGTGAAGGAAAGTAAAATCAGAGCGAACGTTTCGGGTCCATTGAGAACGACTGGATGGCTGTACAGTAGTGCTTCCCACACCTGTAGCAAAACCAGAAATTGCTGGGAAAACTCGGCTCTGGTAGCATCTGTGGAGCAAAAACAGAGTTAATGTCTTGGATGGTGAACCTTCTTCAGAATATTCAGATAGTGCCAGACCTGCTGAGTTTTCTGAGCAATTTCAGTGTTAGTTTCTGAATTCCACCATCTGCAGTTTTTTTTTCTTCCCAAACCTTTGCCTTACTGGACCCTATTTCGAGACCTGACAATTGCTGCAGTTTCTCAGTGAGGCCTATGAGAATGGGGGTTCAGCTGTTTTAACTCTGTCATTGTTCCATAGCAGCCTCTGTTGCCTAAGAGTTCCTTACACTCCTCAGGGTCTTGACCTCACCAATGTTCTACAGAGAGCAGGCATAGATTTTATGGTCTCATTGTCCTTGCCACATTGACTCAATTAGTTTTTCAGCAAAGATAGAAAAACAAATTTCTCCACAGATGCTGCCTGACCTGATATCTGCCAGCATTTTTAAATTTTATTTCAGGTTTCCAATATCTGTATCATTTTGCTTTTGCTCCATTAATTTGAGGCTACAACCCCTACTTTGACCTTTCCTCACAGTGGGACTGCAACTCAACTACTCTACAGTGTCATACTGTATATATAGTAGATATTGCTATAATTTGAAAAAGACTCTTGCCCAGCTGAGATTGCAAACCTCAAGAAAGTTATAGTCATAATATTGTAGAAATGTATAACACAGGAACAGACCCTTCCATCCAACTTGTCCATGCCAACCAGGTATCCTAAAAAAATCTAGGCCTATTTGCCAGTATTTGGTCTATATCACACTAAACCCTTCTTATTCATATACCCATCCAGCGGCCTTGTAAAATGTTGTAATTGTACTAGCCTCCACCACTTCCCCTGACAGCTCATTCCATACACGCACCACCCTCCAAGTGAAAAAGTTGCCCCTTCGGTCCTATTTAAATCCTTCCCCTCTCATGTTAAACCTATGCCCTCCAGTTTTGGACTCCCCCACCACAGGGAAAAGAGCTGGTCATTTAACCCTATCCATGCCCCTCATGATTTTATAAACCTCTATAAAGTCACTGCTCAGCCTCTGACAGTTCCAACAGCCAAACACATGTTTCTGCTGATAGGTACTTAACACCCAATCCATCCATCCCATTCACATATCCAAGAATTTGCAGCCTGAAATTGTGCCAGACTGGAAATACATCACATGCTTGTGTAGCTATAACAAATATTCCTGTAATTCACATACTGTAAAGGAATACTTCCAGGAATGCTCACAGGTTGTTGTATCTATTACTAAGTGCTGTAATTGTGCATTGTTCCAATTCTTCCAAATTTTACCTTTCATAAACATTTGCAACACTTGATCCCTCACGTCCTAACCCACAGCAAGCTGAGTTCATCCATCACTCAAGGAACAATGAAGTATAATGGTTCCCAGATTAGAAACATTTCAAATTTAAAATTCTCATTCTCATTTTCAAGTTTCTGAATGGTCTCAACCCTCCTTATTGCTGTCATCTCTTTTAGTCCCATAGCCCTCTTAAGATATCTGCACTCAAACATCCCGACTTCAGTCATTTCCATCGTTGTCATTCCATCTTCTGTCACTAAGATCCCAAGCTCAGAAATTCATCTCTAAACTTTTCTGAATCTTTAACTCTCTATTTCTCTTTTAAGACATTCCTCAAAACTTGGCTGTGTCATCAAGAGACTCCACCCAAATATCTCATGTGGCTCTGTCAAGTTTTATTTATTTATATTTTGGTAAAGCACCTTGCAACATTGTCCTAGATCAAAGGCACTTTAAAAATCCTATAAGACCATTAGATGTAGGAGAAGTAGGTCATTCAGCCCATTGCATCTGCTCCACCTTCAATGAGATCATAGCCAACCTGATTATCCTCAACTCCATTTCCTACCTTATCCCTATAAACCTTGAATCCCTTACTGATTAAAAATTTGTCTATCATGGCCTTGAATACACTTAATGACTCAACCTCAACAGTCTTCTTCAGTGAAGAATTTCTGCAACCAGAACAGAAGTTGCTGGAAAAGCTCAGCAGGTCTGGCAACATCTGTGAAGAGAAATAAGAATTAATGTTTCAGGTCTGGTGACCCTACTTCAGAATTTCTGCATATTGACTACCCTGACCTTATATGTTTCAATAAGGTTTGTACTCATTTGTCTAACCTCCAATAAATAAACACCCATTCTACTCAACCCCCCTAAGAAGCTTCCTTCATAACTAATATTAAACTAACAAACCTTCCCTGGACTGTCACCAATGCCAAATATCTTTTCTTAGAGAAGAGAACCAAACCTGTGCACAGTATTTCAGGTTTAGATTGACAAGTGCCTTGTAAAAATTTTAGCAACCATTTTACACTCCATTCCCTTTGGAATAGAGGCTAGCATTCCATTTGCCTTCCGTATTACTCATTGAACTTGGATGCTAACTTTCTGTGATGCATACATCAAGACTCCTGAATCCCTCTGTGCTGCAGCTTTCTGCAATCTTTTCCCATTAAGTAACATTTTGCATTTCTATTCTTCCTATCAATGCAAAACCTCACAAATTTCCCACATTATATTGTATTTACCAATTCTTTTGCCCACTTGCTTAACCTGTCTATATCCTCCTGCGGACTGTTGGTGTCATCCTCATCACTCGTGTTCCCTTTTCTTGTGTCATCTGCAAACGTGGTGATAGTACATTCACTTTCTTCATCCAAGTCATTAAAGGTTTGTAAATAATTATGGCCCTAACACTGATCCCTGTCTTTTTCCAACAGTTACACATTACCATCCTGAAAAAGACTTTTGTCCAAAATCTCCATTTACAATTAGTTACCCAAACCTCCGTCCATGCTAATATAGTACCACCAATATCATGGCCTCTTATTAAATAGCCTAGTATGCGGTAACTTTTCAAAAAGTATTTTGGAAATCCAAAAAGTATTTTATTCTCTGATTTTCCCATATCTATTCTGCTTGTTCCCTCTTTAAAAAATTCTAATGAATTTGACAGGGATGATTTCCCTTTCATGAAGCCATATTGACTTTGCTTGATTATATTATGTATTTCCAAATGCTCTGCTATTACTTACTTTATAATAGATTCTAACATTTTCCCAATGACAGATGTTAAACTAACTGGTATATAGTTAGCTGTTTTTTTGTCTCCCTGGCCCATTTCGAATAAGGGTGTGACCTTTCCAATCCACTGATACTTTTCCCAAATCTGAAGCTACAAGTCATTGTTAACCATTCCATCTGTAACTTGGTTCTGGCAGAATCACAGCTTCCTTCCAGGGTTTGACACATTTTGACACATTTGGTAAATCCAAATTAGACAATATGCTGAGATATATTCTTTTACTTGGGCAGGAACCCAGATATTTCCATCAGCTTTGTATCTCCTAGCTGAAAGCATGACTACTTGCCCTTCCCCTAAAGTTGAAGAGTCAGGTAAATATTTACCAGATGTTTATTTTGGCCCATTACAAGAATGTACTGCTGACCCCAAGGTGTTTTCTGGATCAACTGAATTGTGACACAATTGGTGGAGCTAATAACAGCTCAAGATGGTATAGCTGCTTCCCCAACAACCAACCAACCAGATGGACAGGTATCATCTTGAAATATTGTTGTCATATGAAGCTATTTTAAAACAAGAGCATTGTGCAAGTTGACAGAGTGGCAGGTATATCTCGGTACACCTGAAGGTCACAGACCAGCTGAATAATCATGAACTGGACCCATTTCCTTTCCATATATGATACTGCCTCCAAGAGAGGGATTCTTCTTGTAATGTCACTTATCAATAGCACACTGTTCTCTGGGGAAACCAGTCACACTGTAGAAAACTACATTGTAACAAGGGCCATTGACATCTAGATGTATTCCGCTGCGTTTGCAACACTGTGTTTAGCTTTGTGCTGTAGACCGAGACACATTGCAAATGCCTGCACTTACAACCTCAAACGATCCAGATGCATAGCAGCCTAAGACTGTAGGGATCTTCAGAAAAGGACACACAATGCAAATACTTCCTGTGCAGTCACAAGAATGTTGTCTCTTTAATTCAGCTGCTCCTATTTCTACATGGTGATCAACTATTGGAATTCAGTGGGAAATGGATAATTGAACATTTCAACATTTGAGGGTTTAAGAAGTTTCGGAGAAATGATCGATACTTCCCAAATGATAATGCTAACATTATATCACGTGGATATTGGAGGCTGACTCACTAATAATGGAAGGAAGAATTAATGTCAACAATTAGACATCACCTCGAACTGCATCCAGTTAATGGTGCTGGACTTATTCAGGTAATTAATGTGCTACCCAAAATAATCCAAGAAGGAAGCCATTGCACATGACACCATCATAATGTTAACATCTTGTTTATATCCATCCCCGTCACTTCCAGTGGATGGCTACTTCTCTGAGGTTATACAATAGCGAGCAGAAACTGCTGTAATGCACTCAGGAATTCTGCTGTCTTGCTACACAATCTGCACTAAAATGTGTCTCACCACAAGCAAACCATATTTTCAATCTATTGGCCTTAGCCCAGTTGCTAGCACTCTGGATTTTAAGTCAGAAGCTTGTGGAACAAAGTCTTGTTCTAAGCGTTGGGCACAAAAATCAAGTCTGACATTTTGGTGCAGTACTGAAAGATTTTGCACTCGAGAGTCAGCCTTGAAAAATCCTTCAGTATGTTTTGAAGCGGAGTACAGGAAATATCACAAAACAGATTATTTAATCGTTATAAAATTGTGGTTGTTAGAGTTTATGGTGCATAAATTGGCTTCTGTGTTTCATTCATTATACCTGCATTTAATTGGGAATAAAGCACTTTACAAAGTCCTGTGGCCATGAAATATGCTGTAGAAATGCATGACTTTCAAAATTAGAAATGATAGTAAAGTTGCCATAGTCCTATCATTAGAGACAACTGGTGGTGATTTAACCTGAGGTCACCATGCCTCAGGTGAGGGGAGAAGTTGAGAAGGACAGTCTTTCATGGTAACCTCAGCTGGGGCAGAAATTGAACACGCACTGTTTAAGTCACTCTGCATAGCAAACCAGCCATGACATCCTTCTGAATGTATCATGTAGATCCAGTTTTCCTAAAATGATGTTGAATGACCTGCACTTTCTTAAACTGGCATGAAACCATGAAAAATGATAAGATGATGCCACAATAGCTACCTTGAAGTAAAACATCTTCAAAAGTTTATACATCCACTCCTTGCTTTTAAGATGTATTATTTAATTCTTAATCACAGTAAATTGTCTGTCTGTACTTCTAACTTGTATATGGTCTTCTGCAGTCATTCACAATCTTTCTACTTTTGTTTCATCACCAATTTCAACTTATAATCAGCCGTATATATGAGAAAGAAAATAGAGAAATAATCCCTCTGGTACACCACTTCTAGCCTTGAAAACTACAGCATGGATTTTTGTGGTCAGCAGGAAAGTGACAACATTTGTTGCTGACTTTGATGAATTACCCACTAAGATAGTCATAGAAGTCTGTAGCACAGAAAAAGGCCCTTCAGCCCATCGCTTCTGCACCAGTCAGATCTAACTATCCAATGTGAATTTCAATTTCCCTGACATTAAACTTTATTCTGATATCAGCTATGGTGGTGGTAGGGAAGGGATGATGCCTTTTGTACGGCAATGGTGATGTCACCAACCAACCTAAACAGCGAATCAAATTGAAAAATTCTCACAGACAGCAAACCCACTAATTATCCTTCATTTTTAATAATCTAAAAGAGGTCAAAATAAAAATTGAGACATACACATGGAGTTAGAATAAAAGCTGAAATGTTGGATGTTAAAAACAATTTAATTAATAAATAATAATGACCATGGTCTTTAGTTCAAAGGGATTTGAGTACCGAAATAAAAATCTTGTTACATTGTACAGAACCATATCTGGAATACAGCAGAGTTTGGTCTCTGTATTTAAGGACTGCTTGCATTAGAGGGGTCAGTGAATGTTCACCAAATTAATCCCTGGGATAAGAGGATGTTCCTATGTTGAGAGGCTAAGTGAATTGTGCCTGTATTCTCTAGATTTTAGAAGACAGTCGATCTAATTGAAACATACAAGAGTCTAGGGGCTCAGTAGAAGATAACAGAGAGATTATTTATTTCCTGCAAAATAATGTTTGACATGTCGCTGGATAGGCTTCATTTATTGCCATCCCTAACTGCCCTTGAGAAGGTAGTGGCACACATTCTTGAACTGCAGCAGTCCCTAGAACAGAGAATGGTACAATCCAGGAAACAGGCCCTTTGGCACAACACTACCCCCACCCACCCACCATATCTCCACTTACCACGATGCCAATCTAAACTAATCCAATCTGCCTGTATATGGTCTGTGTTCTTCTATTCCCTGACTGTTCATGTGTTTTTCTACATGCCTCTGTGTAAAATACTTGTCTCGTACATCTCCTTTAAACGCCCCCACCCCCCCCGACCTTTAACCTATGTCCCCGAGTATTTAACATTTCTACACTGGGAAAAAGACTCAGACTATCCACCTTATGTACACCTCTCATCATCTTATATACTTCCATCAGGTCGCTCCTCAGCCTCTGACGCTCCAGCTAAAGCAATCCAAGTTTGTCCAACCTCTCCTTATAGCTAATATATTCCAATCTTGGCAATATCTTCGTAAACCTCTTTTGCACCCTCTCCAAAACCTCCAAATCCTTCTTATATAGTGGTGAGTGCAACTGCACACAATACTCCAAATGTGTGTCTAACTAAAGTTTTATACAGCTGCAATGTGACTTGCCAACGTTTATACTCAAAGCCCCAACTAATGAAGGCGAGCATGTCGTATGCCTTGTTTACCACCCTATCCACTTGTGTTGCCATTTTCAGGGAGCTTAGAGACTTGTACCCCAAGATCTCTCTGTATATAAATGCTCCTAAGAGTCCTGCCATTTATTGTGTACTGTATTTTTGCATTTGACTGTCTAAACTGCATCACCTCATACTTGTCTGGATTAAATTCAGCCTACCATTTCTCTGCCCAACTTTCCAACTGATCAACAGGTAGTTCTACTAATACGCAATATCAGCATTCTTGTGTGACGTCGCGCTATAGAAAATTATCAGAGAAAATTGTGTTATAGGGAAATTGCTAAGAAAATCACTATACCTGTACAGCAGAAAGTTCGCGTTATCCAAATGGCATCCACAATTCATAAATCGTGTTACAGCCAATTCACGTTAATGAAACACACGATTTAGCAGAACTACTCGTATATCAGAGATAGTAGGAACTGCAGATGCTGGAGAATCCGAGGCAACAAGGTGCAGGGCTGGATGAACACAGCAGGCCAAGCAGCATCATAGGAGCAGAGAGGCTGATGTTTCGGGCCTAGACCCACTCGTATATCCTGTTGTATCCTTTGCAACCCTCCTGACTATCCACAACCCCACTTTCACGTTGTTTGCAAACTTACTAATCAGACAACCTACATTTTCGTCCAAATGATTTGCATATATTACAAACAAACATGAATTGTAGGCACACTCATAGTGCAGTTAGGAAGAAAGTTCCAGGATTTTGACCAGCAACAATAAGTGAACAGCAATATAGATCCAAGTCAGAATTGTTTGTGGCTTGGAGGAGAATTTTCAGGTCATAGTGTTCCTATGCATCTCAGTCCTTGTCCTTCTGGGCGGTTGAGGAAGTTGGTTTAGAAAGTGCTGTTAGAGGAACCTTTGAGTTAGTGCAGTGCATTTTGTAATTGGTACACATTGCTGTTACTGTGCGTGCAGGAGTGAATATTTCAAGGAGTGGATGAAATGGCAATGAAGTGGGTTGCTAATGCCTGGATAATGTAGAGTTTCTTGAGGGCTGCTGGAGCTGGACTCATCCAGGCAAATGTACAGTACTGAAACAGAAAGTGCTGGCGTAACTCAACAGGTTTGGCAGCACCTGGAGAGAGAAAAGCAGAGTTAACGTTTTGAGTCCTGTGACTCTTCGTCAGAACTGAAAATAGCTGGGGAATGGTGGTATTTATGCTGATGACGAGGGTGGGGAGAGAATAGAAAACAGGGAGATTGTGCACAGGAGAGAAAAGAAAGAGGCAAACATGGACAGCAACGGTTCAAGGCTGCAGACCACCACCTTATCAAGGGCAGCTAGGGACAAGCAATAAATGCTGGCCTGCCAGCGATGCCCACGTTTCACAACGGAATTAAAAAAAACGATTGTGAGGATAAGCCAGGAGAGAGATAATTGCTAAGAGGGCATTAACAACAAGTGTAAATGGTTGAGAATGGGTCAACTGTACTGGGAGCAACTCATACAATACAATTCTGAAGAGGGGTCACTGGACCAAAAATGTTAACTCTGATTTCTCTCCACAGGTGCTGCCAGACCTGCTGAATTTTCCCAGCAATTCCTGTTTTTGTTTCTGATTTTCAATATCTGCAGTTCTTTCCTTTGTGTTTTTCACACATAACAGGATCTAGGGCTTTGCAGGAAGGTAACAAACAAGGAAAAGGATGTTCACATTCTGAAATTAATAAAATCAATGCTGAATCCTGAAGCCTGTATGGTTTGCTGACAACACCATTGTAGTGGGACGGATTTCTAACAACGATGAGTCAAAATACAGAAGGGAGATAGAGGGCTTGGTGACATGGTGTAACGAAAATCATCTCTCTCTCAATGTCAGCAAAACTGAAGAATAGATCATTAACTTTGGAAAGAAAGGAGGCGAACACACCCCCATCTACATCAACAGAACTGAGTTTGAGAGGGTGAAGAGCATCAAGTTCCTCAAAGTGACAATAACCTACGTCCTGTCATGGACTTCCCATGTAGATGCGACAGTCAAGGAGGCACAATAACACCACTTCTTCCTCAGGCAGTTCAGGAAATTTGGCATGTCCATAAGGTCCCTCACCAACTTCTACAGATGCATTATTGAAAGCATACTGTCTAGCTGTACAATGGCCTGGTATAGCAACTGCTCTGCTCAGGACCAAGAAACTGCAGAAGGTTGTGTGCACAGCCTGGACCATCACAGAAGCCAACCTTCCATCCATGAACTCTATTTACATGGCTCACTGCCACAGAAAGTTGGCCAACATCAAAGACCCATCGCACCCTGGTAATGATCTCCTACAACCTCTTCCATCAGGCAGAAGATCCAGAAGCCAAAACACACACACAAGCAGGTTCAGGAACAGCTTTTTCATGGCTGTTATCAGATTGCTAAATGGACTCTAACCTCAAATAATGTAACCTGCAAGCTTCTAAGGCTTTTTGATCTGCATAGCCTTTGCTTGCTGCGATCTGCCTGCATCACTCGTAAACAAAAAACTTTTCACTGTATTTCGGTATATGTGACAATAAAATCAATCACAATTACCTAGGCAGATGAAGTGTTGTTCCTCCAGCTTGCGTTAAGCCTCACTGGAGCACTGAAGCACACCTGAGATAGAAATACTGGCATAGGCAAACAGTGGAGTTTTGAAGTGGCAGGCAATAGGAAGCCGAGTCATTTTGATAGTCTGCAAAACGGTCATCTAGTCTGCATTTCATCTCCCCATTGTAGAGACCATACTGTGAGCAGTGAACACAGTAGACTAGATTGAGAGAAGTGCGACCTTAAAATAGTTTATAAAATCATGAGGGGCATGGATAGGGCAAATAGTCAAGTTTTTTTTTCTCCCCAGGGTAGGGGAGTTCAAAACTAGTGGGCATAGGTTTAAGGGGAAAGATTTAAAAGGGACCAAAGGGGCAACATTCTCCTGCAGAGGGTGGCGTGCGTATGGAATGAACTTCCAGAGGGAGGTAACAGATGCTGGTACAATGACAACATTTAAAAGGCATTTAAAAGGAAGGGTTTACAGGGATATGGGCCAAATGCTGGCAAATGGGACTAGTTTAATTTAGAATGTGGTTGGCAGGGATGAGTTGGACTTAAAGGACTATTTCCGAGCTGACTCTACGTGCAGGTAAATCGCTGATTCACCAGGAAGTTCTGCCAGGGGGCTTGGATAGAGAAGAGAGAGGAAGGGTTGTGAACACTTTAAATTCTTGATCCCAGAGACTATACTATTGAATACTTTTAAAGCTGCGATAGTAAGATTTTTGGTCTCTTGGGGCATTAAGCAAATTGGCAACAGGTGTGAAAGCAGAGTTGCACTATACGATTGTATTGAATGGCACAGCAAGATTGATGAGATATGTGGTCCATTTCTTTGTGATAATTATTTTAAAAATGATTTGTTTAAAAATAAAAATTACTAGAATTTGTGGCATTTCACAAATATTAAGTTAGCACATCATGGGGTCATCTTCTCCATTCATTCTTTAAGTTTCAGCGATACCTTTCTAATACATCACATTCCACTGCACTTCCTCTAATTACTCCAGTTTCACAGTTATTGCAACTTAAAAATCTGGACCAATATTTCTCTTCAATTTGACCAACATTGCACAACCTGTGCTTACCTGATCAGCCAGCAGAGGGGGCAAAACGTCCAATTTCTTTGTTTTGCAACTTGCAGGCCGAGTAGCAGACTGATGGGATATTCTGCAATATGCTGTTGCCAGTTGGAACTGTGTACAGTGACCTACATTTCTGAACTAGAGGTAGATTTCATTTCACAGGCGATCTCTTCGGAAATCACTCATTTTCATCTATTGCTTAATCAGAGTTTATGTTTCTGTGGTGCACTTGCTCTGAATCAAGCTCTCTTGTTTGGAGTGCCAAATTACAGAATTTCCAATATTATCTGATCTTTGTAATTATTTGACAGTGCTGAATGACAAATGCTTTGGCAATTTATTTTCTGTTTCAATTGTGATGACACCAAGTTTTTTTTTATTTAATATACCAATGAGACATCACATGTGTATTTAACAAGACCATCTTTTAGCTCACAGTAGGAAAATTGGACTCTGAAACATTGTTGTTGCCAGTGCTTTGGAAGCCTGAAACTGAAGAAAATCTGAGCCAGATGCCTTTGGCCACTTCAGGCATGGCCTTACAGTGACGGTCAGTGCTTGAGTCTTGGCATGCCATGCATCTACTAGGAAAATGTTGAGTCTTTGAACCATTGTGTAAAACAGCTTCTAATGATGTGCATCAAATCAATCTCCCCATCCAGGGATTGCTCTATTGTCCTCTTCCAATCACTCCTGCTGAACCTGTGCTCAGCTGAACTCCTCTTGTCCTTGGCAGTAGCCACAATGCCTTTAGCCCGAGACAGTGAACTATACCTACTCTCCTTGTGTCACTGTGATGAACACCCCATCCCTGGCCTGACCTGGCATTTAAATAAGCATACAACATTAAGGTGGGGATTTTGACTGACTTCTGCAGGTGCAGAATTAGTGGAGGTACTGTGCTCTATTATTAGAGGAGTTTTGCTAACATTTTGGACTGAAGGGAGTGGGGGTTAGATTTTCACAAGGAAGCCAGAGGAGTTGGTTGGCCTGTCAGAAGAAAATCTGCTTTAGTAAAGGGGATAAGGGTTGCTTTTCCTGTTGAGTTGCAATATGACAATGGGGATTAAGCACTGGCTGCACAGAGGTGAGAGATTACACAGAGGTATGAGGAGTAAAGGTAGCTGTCGAACACCCATTCATCAGAGAACTTTAGGAAGCACACCTCCCTCTACCTCAGCCTGGAGCAACGAGTGCAGCACCTGTGTTTCACCAAGGAGGTAATATAGAAACATAAAAGATAGGAGGAGTAGGCCATTCCACCCTTCAAGCATGCTCTTGCATTATCATGGCTGATCATTAAACTCTATACCCTAATCCCAATCCTCCCCTCCCCCATATTCCTTGATCCCTTTAACCACAAGAGCTTCATCTAACTGCTTCTTGAAAAGCAAGTCAGTGAACTTCTTCACCTCATGCAACCCGAACTGCACCCAAAACAGCAGGGTGAGAACAGCCAATGCCCTCACTTTCTACACCATTAGTCCCTTCCAGGCAGACACAGGTGACATAAGCAACATTTCACAATTTATCAACCATTCTGCTCCATCAGGGCAGGACACAGATGCTCTATATAGGAGACTTCTTTACCTTCTCATTAATTAGACATAGCAGGAGGATGATGTTTGCAGATTACGATAACATAGTAGGACTCCCAATGGTGCAGCATTGAACCGATAACACATCAGGCTCTATGGGCAAATAATCAATGGCTGCCACTCCAGTTGTTATGACCATAACCAGGAGATCTTCTCAATGAACATATTTTGTCCTGGTAGTAGCAACAATACGTTCATGCTGAGATCAGCTGTACCTGCAAATCTTGAGACATTATGAACCAGACGCTGGCGGCTGGGAAATGAGGGGTATCCAGTAAATATTTGGATAAAGACTCCACTCTGCAAACCAAACATGTGTAAACAGCTGCGTACAAAAGTAACAAACACCATCAGGTTCCCTCAAGAAACAGTTCCCCTGTCTGGGCCAATCAAGGGTGCCCGAAAATACACATTAAGTATTGCTTAACTATCTTGAGGGCACAGCCATTGCCACCAGGCACATGGCCCATCGTCTGAAGTAGCCTCCAAGAGGAGACAACGAAATGATGTACCAGACCCTTTCTTCCAGTCAGGCTGTCCACGAGCGGATTATAGAGATGTCAGTTCTGCCAAGATCTCAACCCAACGTAAGAGTTGCTCCACAATTCCCACTTTTCAATCTCTGTCACGGGCCATCACAGCATCTTCGGCAAAAACACTTAAGTAAAAAATCAATAGCCAAGAAAAAAAAAATCCATAACAACATTATTTGACAGCACTGACAATAATATACCCAAAACTTAGCAGTCACGCTATCTTGCCTGGCAAGGTGCTCCTCTGCGGTGCTACTCCAGTGCTTACAGTGTGGCTAGTGGAAGGCTGCTGACTTTCAATGGGGGAGGGCTGCAGCAGGCCCATCTCGAGTGCATTGTTCCAATTTCAATAATAAATGAGTGACTGTCAACATGTCAACTGATGCTGTGCAAAGTGATAGTGAGCACGTGTCCACAAGGTAATCACCTCTGTTAGAATTTGTACAGAAAAAAAAGAGAACTCTCTCATTTCATAAGTTTGTTTGATTCAAACCTAGGTTCCTGCAGCTTTAAGTATTCCAGTTCACTATTTTCCAATGCTTGCTATGAAGAAAGATGCAATACACACAGATTTGCACAACTGTTTTCACACAACAGATAAACACATTAAAAAATACATAACTGCAACATGAATGAGATTTTGAGGTCAGCAGCCAAGCCAAAATGCCTTGAGAAAGTTCTCTTCAAACACCTACAAATCTCTGTAACATAAAGTACTCTGCTGTTAACACTGGTTTAAATCTGGTATCAAATAAATGGACCTCCCAGTGTCAGGAAAATGATGCTGTCAAGTAGACTAACCAGCCAATCACATCGGAGTCACCTCATAAACCAGGAAATAAAAGTTCAATTTTCCACCTTTGATATGAAATATTTTAAAGTAAACAGAATAATGATTACTGCAAATCTCTCCATTATAATGAAAAAAAGTTACACTTTCAAAAATGTTTAATGTTTCGACTATTTCAGTCCATACATCAAAATGGAGAAATATGACATTACAGAAATGTAGAAGTGGTTTTACAAGGCCTATCACAATTTCCAGCAGTACTATAAGCATGATACACCACTTACAAAAAGTTCCAGTGAATTCAGCAAGATGAAACTTTATCAAAAAATTTATTACAGTAAGATGAACAGTCTACTAAAAAGGCAAGTTTTCCCCCAATTCAGTGATTTTTACTTAATTGAAGTTTGACAGGAATTCAACAGCATACTCTTTGGGAAGCATATAGCACTAACTAACTTCTATATTTAACTTTGTGAATGCAGTCTCTTTAATTTACCATCATTTCAGAGGGGCAATTCCAGTGAATTTTAGGATGAATTAGTATTGATGTGAAATTCAGGCCAGAAGTTTAATTGGTGAATGGAGTTCAGGTATAGATAAGCAACAATCTCATTGAATGGAAAACCAGGCTCAAGGAATCAAATAGATATTTTGGTTTCTATGTTCATAACATTTACTTTAATACTAGACTAAGCAATGATGACTTCACAGAATCATTACAGAGCAGGAGATGGCCATTGGCCCTTCAATTGAGCATCATTACCCAGTGCTAATCTCCTGCATTTTCCCAAACTCTTGCACGCTATTTCTATCCAAATAATCATCCAGTGCCCTTGAAAACCTTAATTGAACCTGGTTTCACCATACTTCCATGCAATACATTCCATAACCCAATTCTTCACTCAGTGCAAAAGTTTTTCTCACATCACCCTTGTTTCTGTTGCACATCCCTTCAAATCTATTCCTTTTATGAGCAAAACAGTTTCTTCTCAT